TTGCACTAGTAATTTTCATCTAATTTCTTGCATAAAACTTAGAATATTTATTAGAACTCACGTTCACTTACGATGTAAGTCGAAATTATCACTTCTAGAGCACTTGACATCCAGATAAACAATGACAGGCCTGGAAAGAATCGCGGTTTACTTATATGAGAAGGATGCGTGGCTGATGTGTCACCTTGTCCTTGGTCAGACTCGGACTCATCCACCACTTGTTTGTGGATTTGTACGAGTACATGATGTACATGATCGTATTCTACAGCTGGTTATTATCTCGTCTTTTCGAATTATGTAAATCATTAAGAAAATTGTGACTTTGTACTTCTATGTCTCAAGTTCAGGACATGATTTAGTGTCGTAATTAATTTTATAGCGATAGGAGGAAGTAAATAAATACACGCAGTCTGATATGTGTTGGATACCAGAACACGTGGAAATTGAATTATGACACTTATTGATGAAAAATATTGATTACATAAAATTTTTATAGTGGCATGAATACTTTTGCACTTCTGCCAAATTTGTACCTTTTTATGGCATAGGTACAAAATTTTTCTCAATATTTCTCTATAATTTCATCCCGCATTGCGAAGAATTTGACATCAAGAAGTATTTAAAATATATTCATAAAAATGGTTTTTTATCCAGTTAGACATTTTGTCAATATTAAATGAATTCTGATAAGAAAAATATAAAATATCAATGGACATACCGTTGTTAGGTTACCTTCTAGAAAAGTATTTTAAAAGAGAAATATCATTGCAAATTATGTTCAGATTGCTGTTTAAAAATTAGAATTACTTATGCCAAGGTTCGTCGTTGAGATAATCCTTTCCAATCTTGAGTTCAAAATTCAAACATAAATTTCTGACTGTTTTCTTTGATTTATTTTTGAATAATTTTGAATATTCAAAAAATGTGCATGAATGTAAAATTATGTAGGTCTATCTGTTTCTTTATAAAAGTGCAAAGTACTTTGTTTAATATAACTTACAATTTATACTTATTATAAAGATGATTGTTAATCTCAAGTTATAATTAGTAAATTTTTTGAACAACAACAATGGTAAAAAGATAACTACAAAAATTGCGTTCATTCGGCACCTTTTATTTTATTTGTACTTTGATTTGGGCTGTTTATTTTAGTTCATTTATTATTTTTACAATTAAGGGACTACTCGAAAGATTTGTATAAATAAATAAATTTTATCCCTCATCGATATCTCGCACATAATTATTTGTCATATGCATTTATGGTATATGTCTCCTCCTAATAGAGGCATCTGACCCCAGCCATATATTCTGGTTTCTAATCCTTGTGGATCTAACACTCACTATGCAAATCTAATTAGCAATATATCAAGTGCTGAATTAAGATCTAATGGATTTTCTCGAATTAATGTATCACCAATAGAATTCTCGTTATATCTACGCGGATGCGTAGAGACGGTTCAGGAGATTTTGTCCTCTAAGCCGATGTTCTTTAAACTATATGGAGATTAAAGGAAACCTCGACAAAATTAAGTATATGGTCTTAAAGATATTTACATTTTTTTATATAATAGAAAAAATATGATAGGTATGCTGTAGTTAATATTGGAAATTTAAAATTTCTAACTGAATCTTTGACATATTAACTTCACGGTAGAGAGGGTTTTTTTTACCAGACGATCAGAAGGTCTGTTTACTATGGATAAATATCCAAAAATTTTAATATCGCCAAGTCTGAAAATTAAATGTGCTTTCTTCACTCTTGATTTGATATTATGCTTTATACTGATTAAAAAATCTTCTATAACATGAGTTATTTTCACCATATGATTTTGTTTAATTAAACAAGAATATAGAACTTGAAATTAAATTTGCGTCAGTAACATAATGATTATTTATCACGCTTGAATGACTATTAAAGGAATTAAATTGCATGCAAATACATGTTGAATATTATAACAACTTATTTAATAAGTAAATAATTTAAAATTTTCTACATTATTAGATGATGTAAATTAATCGCTTGTCCTATATAATTCTAATTTTATATATTTATCTTTTTATTCATGTGTTTGTCAATTTATATTAATTTTTATATATTAAAACACGATGCCATTCACCAATTATTAATGAGAAAACTTTTGACCATCCGAATATTTAAATATTATCAAATCTATAAACTGAATTACCATAGATGAATAATTGAAAATGTCGTTTGTCTTCACTTGAAGTATTTTTCAGATTTATCTCAAATTTTTCTCAATACTTACAAATAGACATTAAATAACTGATATCTTATGAACTTTTAATCATCATAATAAATTTAAAAAATATAAATAGTTTATAAATAATCTCATAAATATTGCTTCTCATGATATGATTTTAGCATTATTCTAAGCGTTGAGGTAATTATTTGTGATTAAATATAATTAAAACAAATTCATTCAATTTTCACACCAATGTTTATAAATAAAATTTCCGTGATCTCATTTGCAATAAAAAATATTTCATCATACTTTAATAATAAATAAAACATAAACGTACAATTTATTGTATAATTAAAATAATAAATGGGTAAAATCATAGCTTTCTGCGCAACTTTTGCAATTCTTGGTGTAAATAACCATAGTTGATGTTATTTTGACCGGTCACCTGTACTTTTGAAGTCTTCAACCGGTTTTCATGTAATTGCGTGTGATGTACTTTATATAACGACTTTTGTATTAAAATCATGTAATTAATTAATCCATATAGTTTTCTTGTTACCGCAAATCATCTCAAAACAACAAACAGGTTATTTTATATTTTATTGCGTTTGTGCACTCGGCCGCAGCTATTTTTAATAACTGCTAAGTCATCTAGTACTCTTGTTTTAAATTTTGAAGAGACTTATTGTTAGAAATTGTTTATAACTCGGGTTGGTGTAAACAAGTTGTAAATAAAAAAAATGGAAAAATTTTCTGGTAGTTTTTTGTAGTCATAACAACACAAGGGCCATTCAGGCAATTTACACTTTGAGTATTTTGATCCCGGACATGTAATGGACATACGTTGTAAAAAGTTAATAATAAATGAAACTTTTGTTTTCTCGAAAGAGATTTATTATGTTCTATTTTTTAATGGATTTGTTTGTCACCTATTCAGAATTTAAATTCGATTTGAATTTCTGTTTTGAAACATTAATATGGATTTATTGAACTTTATTTGTATTAGGAACCATTGCTAATACTATATATCAAGCAGTATGCACTTCAGATTATAGATCTGAATTAAAAAATTTCTTGCTGCAAAAATAATGAGAAAGTCCAAATATACTAATTAGATTAATTTAAGGTTAAAAATATGTCAATTAGAGAGGACAACTATTGAAAAGACTACTTACAATTATTTAGAGAAAGATCAAAACAATTACTAAATATTTTATAATAGACAATTCGCAAAATCTGAAACTGAACATAAATTCATAAAAAAATTAATGAGCGCATTTTCTAAATATAATTTCACTTCAATAACCTAACAAAAACAGATTTTATAATACTTGTTGCAGTATTATTTTACTTCCATACTCTCCTGCAAGCAGTAAGGTCTATAATCTTGGCAAAGAATTGGTTTTTGGAAAATTTTTTTTGTAAACTGTATTAAGCAATAATATTTTTTTGTGGTTCTCAAAAATACTATTTAAAATATTTGAAAAAATAAAACGTCGATCAAAGGTCTAATTTTAACAAATGCCACAAAAACGATACTAATATTTGCAAACTTTGAAGAATTTTTAAAATTTAACGACTTGTCGTAGGACCGTAATATTTTAGTATGATCTACAAGACTATGGTATCTACCGTCAAAAAAAAATCATAAAAATCGTCGATTTGTTTTTTTAAAACTTTATTACAAGAAAACGGCTCGGCCGATCTTTACCAAAAACTAGTAAGCACGATTCTCAACCAATATCTATCGAACAGTATTTGAATTTTCATAATCGATTCAGAATTTCGGGCCAGAACGTGGACATTTTTTTTTAACTTTTCGGTGATTTACAAGGAAACGACCAGGCCGATCGTCGTACAAAACTCAGAAACGCTAGTCCTCATCGAGATACATCGAATGGCTTTTAAATTTTAGAAATCGGCCCAGCCGTTTTGGAGAAAACGTCGATTTACGGCAAAAAATCTATTCACACACACACATACACACACACATACACACACACATACACACACACATACACACATACACACACACATACATTTGCCAAATTTGGTCTCATTCGATTCAGAATGGCTTGGAACGTTGAGAAAACATAAAATTAGCGAATCGGATTTTTTTATGAAAACATAAACTTCTCCTTCGGGAAGTTAATAACATGCGTAAAATTCCATTTGTTTTTTAGAATTTTATACCATTTTGATAAGTGAATCAAAATTCTGAGAATACCATTGCATTTCCTTATTTTGATAATAAATTTTAAAAAATTCAACAAAAATTTCGTACATTTTATGAATTAAGCATTTATTTAGGAAGAAGACCTAATAAACTTTGTTTGGAGTGCGGACTATCTAAATATTAAGAACTAAAACTTTCAGGAAATTTTTTTTTATCAATTTGGAAGCATTTGAGCCTATGGGAGCAAAGAAATTCAAAAACATCCATTTTAAGGAGACTCTAATATAGATTCATAATGTTTGGGGTCCCAATTTGACTCTACATCAGTGGATAAAACGCACAAATTATTAAGACTCAAACCCAAGTAAAATCACAATTAATGGAAATATTGCTTCACAACAACCATGTTAGTAAAAAAAATCTATATAATTCAAAAATAACTAAACGAAAATAATAGTTCCGACCATCACGCCACAAAGGGTGACTATCTCAATAAATTCAACTAAATCATTTTATTAATTATATTTAAATTACTTAACATACAAATGATATAATGGTATAACAAATAATAATTAACTTAAATCTTAATCTACTTATTATACTTAATTCCTAAATTAATATCAGTCAAGCCAATGCTCCAGTGGCACCTTTTCGAACAATCGGTTCATAAATGATGCCATCAAAGCCGCCAATTTCGTCCTCAGAGCTGGTTTCATTTCCCTAAGAAGTTCTTGTGCGTTACTGTTGATGAACAGGTTCAAAGCGGCTTCTGTATTGTATACAAATATGGAATATTATTACACGATGGCTATTTGTGATAAACATTATTCAAATTCAGATATTCAGCAGGTGATAAGTATGAATATGAGAGAATAAGTCGCAAATAAACAGAGTCATAAATTTCGTCATTATGGACTTGTTTGTTTGTGGTAATGTTTATATAGGTATAAACACCTGGCGGTGAGTAATTGACATGAGTTGATTATGGTTTTGCTAATTGTTGTCACGTAAAATATTGTTAATAAATAATTATTGATTTGTTTTTTGACAATTTGAATAAACTTAGCATAGTGCTAGAGTCATGATCTAATTGGACATCTAAAAATTATTAGAGGCCTGCGAAAATTGAATTAATCATGAAAACTCCTAATATTATATCAAGATACCAGAAGTACTGAATAGTTTATAAATTTCTTAGTATTTATTTTCTATGTGGTTTAAATTGCA